GACGGGGCGCAGGAGGGAAGGCGGGGGGGGGGGTGTACAGAGGGCTGAGGCTAAGGACCTGCGGAGGGCTGAAGAAGGGCGAGGGAGAAGGGGAGGGGGCTGAGAAGGAGTTCAAGAAGGGGAGAAGTTTTGTTGCAGAGGGAGAGGGAGGAATGGCTCCCCCAGAGCCATACTGGTCTGGAGGCCTTGGCTGCTAGATGTAGTTGCCAATTCTATTATACAAAAACCAAAGTTATTACCAAGAATTTATTTCTATATGTATATTTACATATATATACATGCACATACACATATATGTGTGTGTGTGTATATGTGTGTATGCATGTATGTGTGTAAATGTATATATAAATATATATATATATATATATATATATATATATATATATATATATATATATATATATTATATATATATATACATATATATATATATATATATATATATATATATATATATATATATACATATATATATACATATATATATACATATATATATACATATATATATATATATATATATATATATATATATATATATATATATATATATATATATATATATATGCATTTACATATATAGATATATATATATATATATATATATATATATATATATATATATATATATATATATATATATATATATATATATGTATATGTATATAAATATTCATATATATACGTACATATTGTATGCATATATATAAAATTATAGTATATATATATCATATATATATATATATATATATATATATATATATATATATATATATATATATATATGTATATATATGTATATATATACATATATTGTATGTATATATATAAAATTATAGTGCGTATGCATGTATGTGTGTGTGTGTGTGTGTGTGTGTGTGTGTGTGTGTGTGTGTGTGTGTGTGTGTGTGTGTGTGTGTGTGTGTGTGTGTGTGTGTGTATGCATATATATATATATGTGTGTGTGTGTGTGTGTGTGTGTGTGTGTGTGTGTGTGTGTGTGTGTGTGTGTGTGTGTGTGTGTGTGTGTGTGTGTGTGATATGCATGTATGTGTATATACAATATATATATATATATATATATATATATATATATATATATGTATGTATATATATTTGTGTGTGTGTGTGTGTGTGTGTGTGATATATGATATATATATACATATATATACATATATCTTGTTAGACATATTATATATGTTTAACGTACGTACCGCCCCCCGCGCACCGGTGAATGGAGGTCGGCACTCGAGGCCAAAGGCTGTCAAACACATGTGATGAGGTGACATGTGACATATACTGCGGAGAACATTGTACTTAAATTGACAGGCTGCGTCATACGGAGATACTGATGATGAATACATAGATAAAGCTCCGTTTCTAACTGAAGCTTCAGTCGCCACTTGAATGTCCTTGGTTGATGAAGCACATACGAACTTCGAAGCATGGACCAAAGCCGGTTTATGAACACTGAACTACCGCTGACGAGTTGTTAGTGTTGAATTGCAACTGTTACCTTACCGAATTGCGTGTTGTCAGTTGACGAGAGATCCTCTAAGAGCGATTTCTAGAGTTGGAAGGTTTTTGAAGATTGAAAGCTAGGGTGAATGTGTGTGCCGGTAGATAAAACCTTGATCAGTCTATTTGATTTTGTGAAAAAAAAGTTACATTACAGTAATTTCGAATAAAATATTATTTCTTACAAAAGGAGCATCATAAGAGATTTCCTTTTATTTCATTTCAAATATTTCCTATTTTTACTTATTATCAAAGTTTGATGAGGAAAAAAATCAGGTAACGAACTGCTCGCTTACATTACCACGACATGGCAACTCCGCGGCGAAATTTCTTAAGGGCAAAAGCCTAACCGTTGTCTGGCGATAAGGCGTTTCTTGGGACACAACTTCATGTCAGGTCGGGAAAAGTATGTTCGCTCTGCTAATTACTCTCTCTCTCTCTTTCTCTCTTTCCCTTTCTCTTTCTCTTTCTCTTTCTCCTCCTTCTCCTTCTCCTTCTCTTTCTCTTTCTCTCTTTCAGTCTCTCTCTCTCTCCATCCGTCCATCTACCTACATATCTATCTGTCTACCTCCCTCCCTCTCTTTTCCTGCTTATCCTTTCTCTCTCTCTCTCTCTCTCTCTCTCTCTCTCTCTCTCTCTCTCTCTCTCTCTCTCTCTCTCTCTCTCTCTCTCTCTCTCTCTCTTTCACACACACATACATAAACACACACACACTCACTTGCACGCCCACACAAGCACGCCACCCACGACCCTCGCAGACTCGCCTCCTTTCTCCTAAGCGCCAGACGAACCGCGGGCGTAAACACAACTCTCCAGCCCTCTCTTAACCTCGCTGTGTTTGATCGTGGTTTCAGGCTCTGGGCGTGTTTGTTGCTGAGCAGTCACAAGCTTCTGTCAACAGGGCGGGGAGTGAGTCGCGCGAAGGAGCCGGGAATCTTTATTTGTGTTTGTGTTTTCTCCGGTCGTGGGTTGCCAAAGGGAGCTCCTTGTTTTTTTTGTGTGTGTTTTTTTTCTTGTCTTTCTTTTTTGTCCGTTTTTTCTCCGGGGCTTTCTGTTTTTTTTTATCTTTTTTATCTTTCTGTTTGTTTTTCTTCTTCTTTCATTTTTATTATTTCCACTTTTTTTCTTCTTTTACTTTCTTTTTTCATTCTGTTCTTCCTCTCTACTTTTTACACTTTGGATCTCCACATACCCACGTACACAGAGACACACAGATGCACATATATCCTCGTGCTTTCTTCAAGTTCATCTTCTTTGAGGCGAAGGATTGTCTTAAGAATTCCCACTTTTGATGCAGGCATATATTCGTACACACACAGTTTGCACGTACATACAGACATAGACACACCCACATACACACACAAACAAAATATCCACCCACTCATTTACTTGTGTGTAAAGGAGTTTTTCCCGAATGTCCAAAGTTATCCATTTTAATCACATGTCCGACAAAAGTCAAAATTAAAATATAGCATTATGTACTTTACATTAGATTTCAAGTTCAACATTAACCTACAAATAGAAGCTCCACAAACCACCCAGCGCAGAAAGACTTAAAAAAAAAAAAGGTATTGATCAGTTATTGTTTCGTTCGTAAGTGCGCATCGCATCAAAATCCTCGTTGGAATGTCTGCTGTTCCAATGTCCGTCTTTACCGGGTGATCGACGCTCTTTTTTCTGAATTTGCCCGACAAATTTACGATTTTCAGGGCTGGGAATGGCACATACCTGTATCCTTTATGTGCGCGCGTGTGTGTATGCGTATGTATGTGCAATATATGTATGTATGTGCATATATATATATCAGTAAAGTCAAGTCTGCCTACATTCATTTGTTTTTTAAACCGACATTATGTGTGTATATGTATGTATGCATATATATATATATATATATATATATATATATATATATATATATATATATATATATACAGTTATGTATGCATGTATGTATGTATACACAAGTATATATGTATATACAGTGAAATATAGACAAAGGAACTTTTTCTCATTTCGTACCAAAGAAAGTATATATATGTCGAACGGTCTTTGTGTTGTTCGTCATTCTTACGGGGTAACTATCCCGCGTCCTTCATTTTTCTTCGCCGTCGACAACGCCGCTTTACGTTTGCGGAGTTGTTTCATGTATATCAATAATTTGATGTTCTCGTATATTATGTGTCTGAGATGTTCTATATTTTCTTACTTGGGTAGAAATGCCGCGGACAAGCGACTTTGTGGTCCTCCCGCGGACAGCGCCTGTGACTTCAGCCCGACCGTGTCACGTGGTCGTCCCTTCCTCTCGCTGGGAAACAGTGCGAACCTTTTCCGATCGCCCCCCCCCCCACCTCCAGCTTGTTATTTATTTGCTTATTTATTGATGCCAATTGATGCCATTTATCGTTGTTCTTTGTTGTTTTAATTCACTTCATCTAGTCTGTTCGTCCCTTTGAACTTTTCTCCCGTTTCCCGGGCTTCAGGCGTTTTCTTTTACGGGTTCACTCTGTTTCACCAACGGAGGGAAACTTGCTAAAATCACAAAAGCCGAAGATGTACACATAACGCACATGGAATCTTTTGAGTGTGTGTATGTGGATGTGTATATTTAAATATTGATTTTAGCTTCGAGGTGACGACCCAGTAAACTGATTCATTAAGAGGACTTGGTCAGGTATGTCAATAAGCATGATTTTGTGTTAAACGTAATTTCATATTTACTGTCAGTGTTTAATTGTTCGTTTTACTGGACGATGAACCTAGAGGTATTTATCATCATCAATTTGATCATCTTCACTATATTAACCATTGCCACCACAATTAAACGGTTGCTGTGATTATTGTTTTGTTGTAGTTACGTGGTTACCACAACCACAGATTCTGTTATTATTATTGATTTGACGCCATTATTATGATCATATTGATATCATTTCAGTTATCTTTTCCATATAACATCATTCATCAGGAAATATCCTTTTCATCCATCTTCTTAATTTAAATCATCATCACTACAGATTTTAACCAGATGTATCACCATCGTGATCCTCAGCATCACACGCCACCACCATCCTCCATCTCAGTCATAACCATCATCACAGTATTTATTAGCATCACCCGAGAGCTTCGTGAGAGATGCGCCAAAGATTCATCTCCCAGCGGCGGAGGTTTTGTCTAGTCCTTGCTTCTCATGCCAAAGTAACTCTCTGATCACCTTCCACACCGAGGCAAAGGCCGGGTTTCATTTTATCTGTGGTGTAAATACTCAGAAATTATATTGATTGTGTATAGTTAAGGCTGACTTACCAAAGATTTGTAAAAATGATAATAATGATAATAAAAAAAAGCTAAATTAAATTATTAGATGATTTGTTTTCTTTTTTATCCTTTTATTTTCTTGAATATTTTCATTACCTGTTTGTCATACAGGGAAATATGTGACCATAATGAACAAAAAAGTAAAAGGGATAGATGGAAAAAGTTGGTCG